GAACTAAGTTGGAAAAATAAATATGAAGGTCAATTAAATTATAAAATGTGAGGTAAAGCTCTCCTTTTTAAATTTAATTGGTGCATTTTAAATTGAATTTATTTATTGGTCCATTTATATATTTCTGCCTTTTTTTTCTAGTTATATCAGTGTCGGTCCTCCATACTGCAGAACTTGGTAATTCAATGTCTGAATCAGGTGTGTTGGAGCAGGGAAAATCATAAAACCTGCAGGACTGCGGCCCTCGAGGACCAGGATTGCCCACCCCTGCTATAAACTTTCTCTGTTTTTTTAAGCCAAGCAGAACTGAATATTAGTTTCTTAGTTTCTTCATCATTCTTTCCGTTTTTCTGCCACAACAGCAAATGAGGCAATAAGAGAACCCCCGTCAGTCTTGTGAGAACGGCCATCAGTGAATAATGTCATGTCAGCTTTGTGCAGAGGTTCCTTAAAAATGTTGTCATGAACTCTCATTTCTTGATTCGTCAATTCTGTGCAACTGTGATCCTGACAAGTCGTCATGTGAGAAGCAACGTTCACCCCCTTAGTTGTGAAATGAATATGAGGTCTGTCCAATAATTTTTTTTACATTCTCTGTTCTGTATGATGAAAATGTGAATGCCTGAGAATCAAAAGATTTCACATCATGCAGAGTATGAACAATCACCTGATTTCCCATGGTCACATGTGATGTTTTTTCTATAGCTTTAGTTATAGCTGCAACATGTCTCACACAAGGTGGATGCCCTCTTTCATTGTGATCTAAGTTTGAACTGTGGTACATCAAAATCCGTCTGATCTTATCATCACCTTTTTGAAACAGCACAGCATTTGCAAACTCTCCTTTTCGTCAACGTCTATATGGAATGGCTTCGAGTAATCTGGACTCTGCAATGCACACGCACCTGCTAGGTCTTGCTTCACCTGCAKAAAAGCCTTGTCTGCCTCCTCAGACCAGATTAAAGAAGATGAATAATTTCTGTACCCTGCAGCTGAAATCAAATCCCTTAACGGAGCAACTTTACTGCTAAACTCAGGCACAAAAGACACTGTAATTTACCAAACCAAGAAATTTCATCATGTCTTAGGCTTGGAATAGCTCAAAATAGAAGTTTTTTGTTTGTCAGTCAACTGAAACCCTTCACCTGACACCACTCTCCCTAAGAAAGTGTCACTTTCACTTTCAATCTGCAACTTCTGTCTGGAAACTTTAAAACCACACTTAGCCAAGTGCTTCAGAACCACGTCTGTTGCTTCTAAAAGACTTTTTTGAATCCTCTCCAGCGATCAGGATGTCATCTACATACATCAGAAGAAGGGTTGTTGGAGGGAGAGTCAACTCCTGCAGTTTTTTTCTCAAGACATGATTAAAAATTGATGGTTAATCAATAAACCCTTGTGGCAGCCTCGTGAACTGATATTGTTGTGATTGTAGGTAAATGCGAACAGGTTTTGACTTTCAGTGTGCAACGGGATGCTATTCGCCAGATCATTGCAAGTAAAAAACTTATGTTCAGGTTTGATTGCATATGCCATGACATAAGGGTTTGGAGTGTCAAAGTTTGTTGGCACAACAACTTTATCGGTCGCAAATTTTGAACGAGACGATATTCAGTTCTGTTTGCTTTAGGCACCGGACAAATGGATGTGTTCCACAGAGACAAAGTAGGGTCTAGAACCCCATTGTCTAATAAACCCCTTATTGTTTTTTTACACCCTTGAATCTGTTCAGTCTTTAAACTGTACTGCGGATGAAAAATAGGGAGTGTGCCTTGTTTTAAAACAATTTTCACAGGGTCCACATCCACGTCCAGCATGCCCACATCAGTAATGCTTTTTGTCCATAGTCCAACAGGTAACATTGCTAAAAGTTTCTCTGTTTCTGAGTGATCAAGATTTTCTTTTTCATGTGTCCTAACGACACTTTTTTTCCTCAGGAATAAGGCTCCCGATTTCAGTTCAGCCAAGGGGTCACCAAAACTGTAAGCAAATAAGTGTTCTTATTGCTCCGGTCAGTCATGGTGAAGAAAGAGCTGAGTGAAAAGGCAAAGCTTTCGATTTACTYGTCTTTGTTCCAACCCTCACCTATGGTCATGAGGCATGGATCATGACCAAAAYAATGAGATCCTGGATACCGGCGGCCGAAATGAGRTTCCTTCGTAGGGTGGCCGGGCTCAGCCTTAGAGATAGGGTGAGGAGCTCCGTCATCCGGGGGGAGCTRGGAGTAGAGCCGCTGCTCCTCCACATTGAAAGGAGTCGGTTGTAGTGGTTCGGGCATCTGGTTAGGACACCTCCCTTTATAGGTGTTCCAGGCACGTCCTACTGATAGGAGGCCCCGGGGAAGACCCAGGACTGGCTGGAGGGATTATGTATCCTCTCTGGGCTGGGAACACCTCGGGGTCCCCCAGGACAAGCTGGAAAGTGTCACTGGGTAGAGTGATGTCTGGGTTTCTCTCCTGGACCTGTTGCCTCCGCGACACGACTACGGATGAGCGGAAGAAGATGGAGATGGAAATGTTCCAATAATCCGAAATAGCTATTAAAAAATAATAGCTAAATAAAAACAAATGCACACCAAGGAAAAGCTCCAGACTCGAGGATAAAACTTTCTAAACAAGGGGGCAGTGGTGGTGGGGTGGAGGGTGCCAGTTATTTTTCTGGCACCCCTGGGTCAAACATCTCATAAAGGCTACCATTCTAGTGTGTATTTTATACAATAAATAGGCTAAAGAAAATAAATACAAACTCAGTTTTAATTTTACCTTCTAATATTAGCTCCTAGAATTTGTTACCTATTTTTTCCTCTGTCTTCACAGTGTGGGGTTATGGCTTTTTGGCTGTCACTGTAATCAATCTGGCATCTCTGCTRGGTCTCCTGCTGATCCCTTTCACCAAGAAGCCCTATTTCCCCAAAGTGCTGACTTACTTTATTGGCCTGGCCATTGGGACGCTCTTCTCCAACGCCGTGCTTCAGCTCATACCAGAGGTTAGTGAAATTTTATGTAAATGTTGTGGAACTATTTATTATACCAAAATAATATTCTAAATGCTTTTGAAGGGTTTGTAAAAAACTGAAACCATTAAGTTGCGAACAAGTGGTATTTTACCTTCTACTAACTTTCTCCTGTTAATCCACAGGCCCTGGGTTTTGATCCTAAAGCAGATAACTATGTAGCGAATGCAGTTGGGATATTTGGAGGATTTTATATTCTTTTTTTTGTCGAGAAGATACTGAAGATGTCTCTCCGTGTTGACCATGAGGTAAGTACCACTGTGCGTTTGGTACGTGCAAAAAACTTCTCTTTTATTACAGAGATATTATCATATTATAGATTTGGCTCATTTGTTTTATTGGCTAACTTGGCTTTTGATGATGTTATCATGAGCTTATGACTTGAACTTGAAAGTTTAACAACGGGAAGTGCATTGGCTCGTAAATGTACTTTGAAAGATGTATTCTTGAATGACTAATGAAATTTGCTGAATGTGCTAAAACTGAATTCAAGTTCAAGCAAAGAAAACAGAAGCTAAAAGGAGCAGAATTGATGCTAAAAGATAGGATGAACAGAACAACAGCAAAACACTTGAAAGAGCTAAGCGAAAAGTAAAAGTAGCACATAGCGAGCTAAAAGTAACTAAACACTAGTTTAACACTAGCAAAATATTTTCTAAAACTAGCAGACTAGCAAAAAAGCCTAAAGTAACAAAYTACAYRWACAAGTAGCAAAATATGAGCCAAAATGAAAAGTATCAAAGTAATAGWATTGCATACAATTATTAGTATAGTTAGCATTTGAAGCTATAAGTTGGACTTTATATTTTTATATTTCTGATATCTATTACAGTGTTTTYCACAATCACAATCGAGTTTTGTGATTGTAGAAGATTGTTCCATGCAGTGTTCACATGACAGCTGATGTCATATATGGACGTTTGAAATGTCTAAAATTAAAACTTTTGTAAACAAATATTTCTTACTTTCACAACTTTAACCCTAATGACCTAATGAACCATTGCCTCCATCCATATTTTCAGTTGCAGGCTGAGTAATTTTTGCGTTCCCCTCTCTGTCATGTGGATGGAGGACCTCATTGACGAAAGGAGAATGTGAAGTGCTGAGCTAATACATATATATGGTTACATACAGTATATATGGTGATAGCGTCGTGGCTAACGCTAAAGC